AAGATGTAAACATTCTCAACCAGATAATCACAAATTGTATCTGTCAATATGTAAAAAGGAAGATGTATCTTAACCAAGTGAGGTTTATTCAGATAATATAAACTAATTATTGGAAAATCAATCAATATAATTAGCAACCATACAACTTTAAAACTTGGAAAAAGCATTTGACAAAACTATATTCATCTTCAATAAAAATTGTTAGCCAATTTTAAGTAACAGTCAAATTCTTCAACCCAATGAAAGGCATTTCTGATAGGTTACATCTGTAGTTAACACCATCTCTAAAGAGAAAAGACTGGAAGCTTTCTTTTGAAGGTTGGGAATAAGTCAAGGATGTGCTCCTACCACCTTGTTGAACTTGCCAGTGCAATAAGGCAGGAAAAATAAACAAAAAGCCCATGTACTGGAAAGGAAGAAATAAAATTTCTTTTTGTAGAAGATAAATGTAGAACTCAGGAGCCTGTAACCTAAGGCTTCTAATGATTTTTATGAGATTGTTGAATACAAAGTCACTACACCAAAATGAATTGTTTCTACACAACATCTGCAATCAGATTTTAATTTCCCTAAAAAATTAATGATGAACTCTTCCAAAAGAAAAAAGTATAAACCTAATGAAATATGTGCAGTATCTGTATATCTATAAAATATTGATAAAACAAGTGGGAAAAGACCTCAATAAATGTTCAGTGTCCTGTGCCTAGGACTTGGATCTTTTCAAGTTGTTAAAATGCTCATATTACAAATTATTTATGGGTTTAATGAAATCCTAATTAAAATTACAGAAAGATTTTTCATATCAATAGATTAATTCCAAATAAGAGAAAAGTAATGAGAAACGTCAAAACAAAAATTTCAAAGGTCATGGTTGAAACGCTCATACTACATGATTTCACAACTTTCTATATGGCTGTAATAATTAAAATCATACATTGGTAAATAAATACACATATTATTTGTACATATTGATCAGCTGAACAGAAGTGGGAGCAGAACAATGACTTGTATTTGTCACTAAGTTTTAATAAACTCTAAAAGTATTTAATAGAGAAAAGATATTCCTTCCAAAACATATTGGAACAATTGAAAACTCATATACAAAATAAAATTGAGGTCTTTACTCACACCTTAGTTTTTGGAGAATGTCTGTTTTTTTGTTTTGTTTTTTATTGGTACCGGGATCGAACTCACAACTGCCTGCTTGCAAGGCAGGTGCTTATGCCGCTGAGCTAAATCCCCAGCCCCCACACCTTAGTTTTACAGAGATGAAAATCAACCTAAAATGAACTACAGATATAAATTGAAACATGAACATACAGAAACTGTAGAAGAAAAGATAGAAAATACTTGTGATTGTGAAATAAGAAAGAAGTTCTTGGATACAACATCAGATCCACAAGCATAAAAGAAAAAAAACTTATAAAAACTCAGACTCTACTGAAATTTAAGTACTTTTGATCCATTAAAGAGAGAATTAAATGAATTAAAAGGAGAAGCCACAAACTGAGGTAAAATATTTACAGGTGACCCATATGACAGAAGCCATGTCCAAAATGCATATTGAAACTTTTAAAACAACAATAAAACAAGCAATCCAATTAGCAAATTGGCATGGGATTGGAGAGGTGCTTTATTGTAGCAGACAAACAAATGTCAAACGATGCATACAAAGATCATTGGTACCATAGGTCATGAAAGAGACGTGAATTGAAGCCATAATATTGTACCCTTATACATCTATCGAAATAACTATTTAAAAAGTAGAAAAGTACTTCATATAAAATCAAGTTCTAACCCATCGTGGAGCATTTTAGCTATTTGAGGTGAATAAAAACCTATATGGACACAAAATTCTGCATATACCTGTTTATAGCAACTTTACTCAGTCCCTGAAAACCAGGTAGTACCAACCTGTACATAAACTGTTTGATACAGTGGGACACCAGCCAACAAGAAGCAACAATTACTAATGTGTCACACTGAATGGGTGGATGTTAAATGCATGCCCTGAGTGAAAAAAGCCAGATTTACTCAGCTACATATTGCATGATTTTCACTTACACGACAAGGCACAATTGGCAAATCTGTAGCTATTTAGATAAAAACAGTGTGCGCCCAGTTTGGGGAAGGCTGGGAGGGGGGTTAGCAATAATAGGGCAGAATGAGGGAATACCCTGGCATAATGGAATTATTCCATGTCAAAATTATAGGGGAGTTTCCACAGCCTTTGCCTTTAATATTCATAAAGTTATGCACCAAAAAGAGTGAATTTTGCTATATATGAATTAGAAAATCAAAATTGAAATGTAAAAGAATATTACACAAGTTTAGGAAACTAGAATCTTTTCAGAACTTTAATTCATTATCATGACTACACTGGTCTCATATTTTTGTTAGATCTGATAGTTTTTATTTTTATCTTCGGATTTCTTAAAGGAAAACCACATATTTAATTGATAGGTGGCTGAGTATGACTTGCTTAGGTGAAATTTTTGAAACTTTATTTTCAGTTTTTAAATTGACAGATGGTTTGTTTTCATCATGTACCACCTGATGTGTTGAAATATGTATACATCATGGAATTGTCAAACATAGCTTGGTTACAGATGTGTTAGTTCATATAGCTATGATTTGTATGGTGAAATTACTTAACACCCACTGCCCAAAATTTTCAAGACTGAAATAGAATATTATTAGTCACACTCATCAAGGGAGACAGGGGTTTTAGTGGTTAATAAACAGTTTTTTTTTTTAAACCAAAGAATTGAAACCACGTTCTCTTGTCTTTCCCCAGTGAAGGTCACTATTTAGAAGTCTGATGATTCCATTTGAATTCTTAACATAGTAAGTTTCTGATCTAGGTTTTCTTCGGGAAAGATTTTTGACTTGCTAGTTAAAACTGGCTTTCTGAAATATTCTGATCATGTCTCCTCACTTAATTCTTTTCAGTCATTCTGGGGGCATCCAGAGAATCTTTTAATTTGCACACCAGGGGCTCTGGTTCTAAGGTATTTTCTTAGTGCCTTTCTTTGATTATTTTGTTTTATGTCTTTCTTCTGGTTTCTCTGAATGGAACTGTTACTCATATATTAGATTTTCCAAATGTTTTCTAATTTTATTATTATTTTTTCTCTTCCAAACCTCTGGCTTTTGCTACACTTTTAGGGACAGTTCTCAAAATTTTTTTCTTCAAATTTCATCTGTGAAGTTGTCCTCTTTGATTACAACTTTCTGTCTCGTATCTTACTTTTGTTTCATGAATAGAGGATCTCCTTGTACTTTCTTAGGGCTAGGATATTTTCTTCCTCACCCTTCATTATTTCTCAGTCTGTGAAATGATTTCTTCTGTCTATTTTGATCTCCTTTTAATATGTAACACAGGGAGATAGATATTTTGCAATAGAAAAGGGGACCAAGAGATAGAAGGAGGAAGTAAAAAAGGAGAGAAAAGGCTGACAAAAAGAATGAAATTTTGTTATGCCCACAAACCAACTCCCTTGGTGAATCAAATCATTATGCATTGCAAATAGCACTAATAAAAATTAAGAATTAAAGAAAAAAGAGTGATGGATTAAAAGATGCTGGCCAGAAACTTTATTGCTAAGTGAATCTTGTCGACTGGTCAACTTCCTTCCTGCTGACCATGTATCAAACTATATCTTGCTGTTGAAGGATCTTTATATGCTGACACCTGGAGATATTCAACTTGGAGTCACTGCTTCCCGGCAAAGAATGCCCGATATGCTGTCGGGAGGTATTCACGACTGCCTACGGGATTCTGAGAGGAGAGCCGGAGAAATTAGTCAAGGGTCGCACCATTCAGGTTGCTGTCGGTATTGTCTCGACCTCTGACCTTCACCTGGGCTCCCAGGTATCCAGTGCACTAACCCTTATGCCCATTGTTCGGTTTCTCTGGTTATCTATCTTTCATTTTGCTTTTTGTATGCTGGGTTTCTTATTTTAGAGCAACCATGAGACATTTAATCTTCTGTATCTGACTCACTTCACTTAATATTATGGTCTCAAGGTGCTTCCATTTACCTGTGAATGGCTTAATTGTTTTGGAAGTGTTCTATCAACTTTTAAAATAGCCTTGAAAACTGAGGATGTTGTGGAAGAATCCTTCATAATTTAAACATTATGTCATAGATTAAGGATTACCTTTGTCTGTGTGTGTGTAATGAGTGTGCATAAGTACATGTGTGTAGTGAATGACATTTCATTGGATCAGGCAAAGATATGACTTGAGAATGTTCTGATTGCTTATTTTTTGGCCTCAACTTGACGTCAAGAGATAAACCACTATCATCTCACTTTTGGCTTTGAAATTGATATTGAATATTATCATTATTGCTAATTATGAATTTTAAAAAGATTCACTTTCATATATGGTCATTTTGTTAGCAACAAAAGGATACAGAAAAATAAAGGGATTCTAACTAAGAACCTGACAAAATTGATAATAGGTATCCAAAATTATCTTCTGTATTCCTTTTACAGATATTTTAGCTTCAGGGCAATCTGATGTATGGGAATCAAACTTTTTCAAAGAAATTGCATTAGAAGGTAGTCATTTCACTTGAGACTGTATTTTGCTTCATAAAAAGGTTCACTATTTGAGGCAGAGTCTCACTATGCAGTTCAGTCTGGTCTTGAGCTCACTTTATAGCTCAGGCTGATCTCAAATTCGCAACCATCCTCTTGCTCAGCCTCCTGAGTGCTGGGATTACAGGTGTGTGCACCACCATGCCCTGCTCAAAGAATATGTTTAAATCAAGTCTCTTTTACTAAGGAAGGTAAAATTAGGGAAATCAATTTCAGCTATTGGTTGTCCAGTGAAGATTAAAACCTATAGAACACTATCAAATATTTGATCCACACATCTACTTAGAGAAACACTGGAGAGATATTACCATGGCTGAAATGGTTTGTTTGATTTGGACTTCTGTTTCTTATTCCCCGAGTTCTTCAGATTAACTGATAAAAGAAATTGGTACCTTGACGTGATGTTGTGAATGACGGGTGTCGCTATGTCACTGGGTGTGTCTTCCACAGTGGCGATTTGGGTTCCGTTGCTTTTCGCACACGCATATTTTGTGCATACTTCCACCTGCACACAGAGGCGAGACAAGAATAAGCCCAACCAACCACTTTCAAAAGGCAGACCAAACACAGACTGAATCCAGCTACCCTCATTCCACATAAATCTCTTCCAGTTCTCTGCTGTCTCCTGGGGTTTAGTAAATATTCATTTTTGATGTTAATTGACTCCAGTGGGACGGGCTCAGAGTAGATTGCAGAATTGGGCTCAGGACAATTGATTCAGTGATTAGAATGGTGATTTTTAGTCTCTGGTTCCAACCGTTCAGAAGGAGAAAGACATATTAATCTATCGGAGCGCTGTCGAGGAGTGGAAGACATTCGGGTGACAGTTTGCAAGCATAATAGGGCATCACTGCACAGCGCTCTCTAGATCTATAACCAAGTAGTGTAATGATGATATCTTCTGGAAGTCTTGACATTTTACAACAAATCGCCTCCATGCTAATGCATAATGGAAGAAAAATGAAGCTCAGAGAGCCTTCCAATATGGCTCAGCTATTTTATATCCATTTGTTCCAGTTGCAATGGTATTTTTACCTTAATCACAGCAGAAAATCATCCTTCACCCCTTTAATTCTGCCACCTAATCTGAATAAAAATGGAGGAGGATGGAATAACTACGATTAGGAATGGGATTTCTCAAGCATTAGGAACAAAAGGAATAGAACCCCCAAGAGGCAGGAGCCATAAGCAAATGCCCAAAAGCCTGGGAGCAGAGCCCCCCTGAAATGGCCGCATCTGCTCTGAGTGTAAGGCTCATCCAAAGAGGAACTCGAGTTTTCAGTGTCAAGATGTTTTGGTATTTCACACATAAAAAGAGGAGGGAAGCCAGAAACTGATGATTCTTAACACCCATTCTGTGCTTTTAAGTGAAGCCATTCTCTATTTTTTCTGTTGGAATTAGGAGAAAGGCAAATGTGATACGTGTAATATTTAGCAGATAATTCATTTTATTCCTAAGGTGGTTTGTATCTAAATGCAAGTTGAAACATATGCTTACAATGCTGTGTAAGTTTGTGTTGTTTATTGACATAGTACGCCCTTTGAGCTACTAATTAATAATTTTAAATGCTGTTAAGCCCCTACTCTCTAAGTACAATCAAACCCAAAACATCTTTAAGATAATTAACATATAATTCTGTGATAGAACTAATGACACAAGCTTTTCACATATTAGAAAACATCTGACTCTGTGCTGTTTCATGAGATAAAACAGAATCCACTCAACCGCACTTGTGATGTATGTAATGTGTACTAAATCTGGTACCATAAATGGTACTCGAACAGATAACTTTAAAAAGTTCATAGCATTCAATAATTGTACAAATGTATGGGGTTCAGTGTGTTTCAACACGTGATCACATGTAATGATGAAATCAAGATAATCAGCATTTCCCTGCCCTTATCTTTTCTCCGTATTTACCACCTGGGAGCTTCTCTCTTTCAGAATCTTCTTAGCCATCTAACCGGGTATTATGAACTGTCATCATCTCACTAGGCTGTGGAACACTAGAGCTTATTTCTCTTATCTGACTCTGACTTGGTACCTGTCAGCCCATCTCCCTCTGTCCTACCGACGGCCCACCATTCCTAACCATACTACGTTCAGGTCACTTCTTTTAGCTTCCACCTAAAGTTAGAATAATACGAAATATGATTATTAAGCTGTAAGTTTTGGGATACCTGCTTTGGACTTCACCCCATTGTGTTCCCTTCTAACCTCAATGTTAAATGTCACCATCAGTTTTAACCTGCATAAGTCCACCCATACTGTTTCCCAGAAAGCTTTTCATTTTGTTTAGCAAATGATGCCAAAAATATTTTCGCTCTTAGTAATGTAATACTGAAACACCTCACCTCAGGACATGTGTCTAGTGCTGTAACTATAGCATATGATATGGGACTGAAACACAAATATAAGAGTTTACCACACTTCCATTAAAAAATGATAAAGTCAAATGAAAACTGAAATTCTTAACCCTTTTTAAAATATATACAAAATAGTAGAATATATAAAAGAGTAGTCACTTGGCTGCATTAGCCACCTTAACTCACTCACTGTGGTACAGAAGGGGTTACACAGAGCACCTCGGCTGTAAATAGTAACCACACCACTGAATCATCTTTGACATCAAAATGAAGATCACTGAAATTTAACATTCAAGTTTCCAGAAATGCAGCAGCTCTGTAGGGTGCAGCGTTTCTGGACTGTAAGGATCCACCAAAACATTTACCAAAGATAAGGGCATCTTAGACTCAAGAATAAAATCCAAGTGTTGGGCTCAAGGTGGGAGTTCTGTACTTCCACGACCCACATTTGATCAAGTCCGGCCAGTGCTGACTCCATCCAGCAGGTACGAGACAAGCCTTCCTCCCTAGAGAATGTGGGGCACCTCTCCACACGCAGCCAAGGCTGAGACACACACGCATGCATGGAACCAGGGCTCGCACCACGCGCTTGTGTTCTTGGTTCTGATAAAGCCAAGGAGTATGCACTGCCTTTTCGGGGCACTTCCTAAAATCGTTCCTAAAATCATTAGTGACACTTTATCATACAAATGCATACATTGTTTTTCCTAGAGGTCAGGTGCCCTGATTCCCTAAGAATCCTCAAGGTTCCCAGGACACAAAAGTGTAAGAACAAGGACTCTCAGATAAGCAAGGTCACTCAACAGTTGTTGAATGGATATCGTTCTTTCATCCTCAAAAATAAAACAACAACAACAACAACAACAACCCTTTAATACTAGTTTGCTGCACTGCCCTCTCCATCTTCCTGCAGCAATGAAAATCAAACGCACTGGCGGTGGACAGCCTGGCCCTTCTCACCTAATCTATGGCCCTTACAAGGTGAAAACTGCCATCAGAGGAGTTCTGGAGCTCCTGAGCCATACCAAGGGGGACATCTCCACACACGCGAGTGGGACTTTGAGATCAATGAAAGATTGGGGGGAAAAGGCAAACTGGCCAGATTTATTTCGAGTATGTGATCAGCTCCATTGTGTCAGTGAGCATTTCATTGCCACCCTGGTCACCATCATTTTCCATCTTAACATGATCCTCTCTCCAGAGACTCACGTGTTTGCCCACAGCAAACAGATTTAATTCTGATCAATTTGCCTCTTCTCTCTCTCCCCCCACTTCCCCACCAAATAAACAGTGTGTAACCAGGACAGCGAGTATCCACGCAGAGACACGGCTCTGCATGTTTTATTTAACGTATCTGTAAGCTTAGGCATCAAAAGAAACAAAACAAAACAATGCCCTAACCTGGATGTCATAGACAGTGAAGGGGGACAAGTCTCTCAGAACAAGCGAGCCGGGCACATCCATTCCGGTCTTGTAGAGCTGATTGTTTACATAGATGGAGTACTCGGTGACAGCGCCATTTGGGTTTGAAGGAGATGACCAGATGACACGGGCAGCTGTGCGGTTGATGATGACAACCTCTGGCGGCAGCATGCCCTGAGGCTCTGGAATGAAAGGAAGAAGAGGCATCCACTCCAGCTGTCTCTGCAACAGCACTTGTTAAACTAAATGCAGATTAGTATTTAGGTTTCGCAAAGGGTCCTTGCTTATCTGCTTTCCTCTGATGAAGTTATCACAGTCTGCAGTCCTCTGCAAATTGGCTTATTAGACTCTCAGTTAGAAACCATAAGAATTGCTAGGAAAGTGCTTATACCCCCAACATAGTGCTAATCTTCAATACTCTGAGACCAGTGGGATGCGATGATAAATTATTCACCCATCTGCGCCCCTCACGCATATGTATTATTTGTCTTTTTTACATCTCTTCACTCCACCCTTCCTAGGATGGAGGGAGTGGGGGTAGGGAAGGAAAACAGAAAATTTGCTCCTGAAGCAAAAAATAGAACTCAGATACACTGAGGCTGGTGGGACGTGAAAAATCATTTGATGTTACTAGCTTGTAACTCCAGCAGTATGAAGCAATAATACAATATTGTCATTATGTAAATGATTTTGAATGTTGATTACCATAGGTAATGATGAAATCCAACATTAGAAAAAATCCTTGCTTAGCGTTAAATTACACCATTATTCAAGCATGTCAGAAATAACTATGCAAAGACCTATTTTTATCGTAAGAACCCATCTTAACTAGTTGAAAAATCGTCCTTGTGATTCATCCTATTTTATAAACAAAAGGTACTGACCTTTGGCACCAGAGAGGGAAATGGGTTCCATGCTTAAAGAGCTCCGTTAATGACCTAGAACACTTGCTTGGGAGGTAATGATATTATAATGTTTATAATGAGACTTTATAAAGCCAAAAAGATTAGAAAGGCCATTCCGAATACATTTCAGATTCACACGTTCCTTCCCTTCCTTCCTCCCCAACTGACTGGCTTAGAAATGAGTCACAGGCAATTTTTCTGGGTGGCTGAACATCCACCCACCACTCTTGGTGACTCATGCAGAGCCCTCTGTGCTTGGGTGTTGTTCTGAAAAGCACACTGCTTCTGAGGACAGATCTTAAACAAAAAGAGAGATTTTCCAAGTGCCACCACTTATGATGTGCATTCAGCCTCAAGTGACGCCTGCCCCAAAAAGAGCAGGAGCCAACTGATGTCCGACACCAGGCCCTTGTGCTACGTTTCAGTGGGGGTGTGGCATTGACCTGCCACTTGTGGCCAGCCAGCACTTAAGCATTGCAGCCCCGACTTGCTTCCCTCTGACACCCAGAAATTTTGCACTGGATGGGTGACTGATACCAAGCTCAGCAGGAATCAGTGGCACCTTCAAAGCCGGGTACCCCTGACAATCAAGACTTACCCCCATCGCAAGTGATTGCTCGCAAGACTGTACTGTTGATACTGTGGGCTCCATTGAAGACAGAGATAAAAATGAAGTACTCTGTGTTTGGCTTCAAGTGGCCAATGACATAGGACTTCACACCTGGGAGGATTCTCAGAGATTCGTTTGAGGTAGCAGAACTCCAAAAAAGTGTGTAATACTCAACATCTCCCTGGAGGTCTTGAAAAGCTGTTAACAGTAAGTATAGAGCAAAGTAAACAGCTGATCTGGCTTCAAAGGGTCTTAGGGGAAAGACAGGATGAACTCTACCCCTGGTTGCTCTTAAAATGAGAGCAAAGCACTTAAGGAGACTTTACAAAGATTTGGAAACTGCTTTGTCATGGTGCTAGTGGTACTAGATTTTTAAATAAATTTCATTACTTTCCTTATCCCATAATTAATTGCATATAGTTGTGCACAGAATATAAACTCTTGAGTTTCCTTTAAATACTTTAATTGTACTACTTAATGCTCTAAACTTGGGTACAATATGTATGAAAGGAATCCACGAAAAATAAAAATTATGCAATACATGAGATTATTTCTGTTTGTGTATCATACAATTCCATGGAGGAGTCTATGCTAATGCCAAGGAAAACTTTTCTTGACATAGATCCTAAAGGAAGTTTTAAACTGCTAACAAAAGCTGTCCATGGGTACGGGAACAATCCTTATCTAGTAGCCTTGTGTGTGCACTGCCAACATAGCAGGGGTCTGTAGCTTACTTTCCCAAAGTTCTGGTTCAGTAAAACTAAGTAGGAACACTGATATATAATCAAGGTCCTCCTTCTCTTCACCTTGTTCTGTGTGTTCCTCTGCTGTGGATAGGAATGGGAAGGGTGCACAAATCAATCACTCCCTGTCTCACACTTGTAACTCATCACTTTCTCCATAAAAAACAAGTGCAATATGGTTTTTCCACTTGATTTCTCCATTCCTTGGCCTAAGATCTACTTCTTGCTATTTGCCTCCATTGATTCTCTTAAAAGAGGACATAAGAATAGTCATGTAGGGGCTGGGATTTAACTCATCAGTATAAGCACCTGCCTGGCAAGCATGAGGTCATGAATTTGATCCCTGGTACCAAAAAAAGAAAAAAAGAATAGCAGCCATGTTTCCTTGGGTAGGAAATGGTATGCTTCTCTACTTGCATCAGTATTATTTTTAAAGCATTAAGTAGGAACGAAGGCCTACTGTGTTAGGGTGATGAGTAGGGTGCTGATTTTTAAACCTCCTGAAATGGCACCTCCAAATATGCACCAAGCTTGGCACAGAGCTGTACTCTAAGACCTGAGAGGAAAAGGTGGAATTTTTCCATATGATTACTGTAGTGTGATTTCTCCACCACGTGCGATCCCAGCATACAGCACAGAAAATAACAGTTTCAAGAACGATGTGCATTTCTCTAAGGACGCTTTTTTTTCAAGATCTTGGAAGTCTTACCTAAAAATGAATGGTGAATTTTTGACTTTTGTTTTTACCTTACTAAGGACACTACTGTTTTCCCTTTAACACCATTTTAAACAGTGCAGCGAGCTGGTGTAGTTAGCAGAGTTTATATCAGGAGACCCTGAGCAATTAATTTGGAAAACTCTAGGGATTGAGATGTTTCTCTTCTCTGATGCCATGAAATGTAAACATGTTTAATAATGAGGTCATTATTATTCATTGGCAGGAATGCCTGTTCATAGACTTTAGCATTTTCCTACTGCTCATATCAGCCAAGTACAGCAAAGCCACCTGTGTTAGGAGTGCAAAAGTTCACTTCTTTCATTAGAAGTGTTTTTTTGCAGGCTGTCAGTATTATTACTCATTAATTTGTGGTTGCTATGGTTTAATGGAATGCACATTAGATTTGAAGTGTATGTTACATTTCAGCCTAAATGAGAAGATGAGGGAGTCAAGTCCTTAAGATATAATAGTAATAAAGGGCTTCACAGCTACTTACAAATAGGAACAGATTTTACTTGGATTGTGCCTGATAGTTCTTGTATCAGGCTCTCAATAACTCTACTTAAATAAATAACATTAAATATAATGGGACTTACACCACAGGTTCATGATGTGTACAGATCATACATCAATGTCTGGATGAGCTCCCATTACATGCCCATCTTAGCCATGCACCATATGTCAAATTCTTGGAAACAGAACAGAACCTATTGTCCCAAAGATGATAGGAAGGGATGGTGGTTCGGCTCCACCATTGACAGCTTACCGCACACACTAGGGGCTCTTGGGAGCAGGAACAGGCAACAGCTCAGCACAACAGATACTGGATTTCTGCCTGTCCTGCTTTTTGCCAGTGTCTGCTCCAGTGCTTGTTATGGTTTAGATGTGAATGTCCCCTTACACCTCATGCAATCCTAAGTGGATGCGTGGAAGGGGACTAGATGGTGGGCGCTTACAGAAAGTGCAAAGATGACAGAAACTTTCTTATGTAGACAAAAATTGAGAGAATGTATAATTAATGTTTTAGCTTTCATAATAAAAACTAGACAATAATATTCTCTAGACAACAGAAAGACAAAATGAAATCCAGAATTCAAGATTGGAAGTTTAGGAACTAATGTTAAATACTGAGGTCATTTTAAGGAAAAAAAATGTGTAAAAAGTTGTATGACTACAACAATAATATACAAACCAAATACTGAAGATGACAGGTGAGAAGAGAAAGGAAGGTCATAGAAGGCTAAATTCTTTATTATACATAAAAACAGAATGAAAAAATAGGGAAACATCACTAATCACAAGTAGTATAAATAAAGTTTAAATTTTAAAACACACTGTAGAACCTAAAGGTTCTGGGGCATATTCTTCCAAGCTGTCTATATGAATATTTTTCTTTGAGTCAGTGCCATTTGTGGACTGCAGAGGGAGAGAACCAGGCCCCGTGGGAAGAGATCCGCCTGGAAACCACATCATTGGCATTGTTTCGCTGGGTGGGGTTTTATTCTCTTCTGTTTTGTTTGATGTTAAATCTGATGGCAGGAGCAGCTATTTAAAAGATAGCAAGACATATTATGGTAGCCATTTTGGACTTACTAGTGGCTTGTTTTGAAGTTCTTTACTGCATTCATTATTTTGTTTTTGTTGTATTCTGTTCTGTTTGATTTTTACTTTGTTCAAAGATATCACAAGCTATTTTGAAGATAACAAAAGGCATTATTGTAACTATTATTAATTTTGTAAGGTTTTGAAGTCCTGTATCACTTATATTGGTTTATTTTCATTGGTTTTATTCGATTTTATTTTCCTTGATTTTAGTCCCTTTAAAATAAAAAAAAAACTAAAAATAAATAAATAAGTAAATATTTTCTTTTCTTTCAGACATCCAGACTATGACTAAATTTTCCTGAGCCCCCTTGGAGCTGGTTGAAATCACACGACCATCGATCTGGGCAAACAGGGACTGACGTAGTTAAACTGTTGTACCCACGAGTTCTAATCTCATCCTGTTTTGGACTGAGGTGTTACAAAACAACCGGCCATCTCTAATGCCACCGCTTTTCCCATCTAGGTGCAGACCTCAAAGCCCTGCAGTATGGGGGACCCATGAGGTCAAAGGATTATAAGTCCTTAAATGACCAAGAAGACTTTAGAAAAATGTACAGAAGACAATAGATACCTCTCAAGTTTCTGGTTTGGCTTTCTGGATGAATCTTAGAAAATAGGAGAGAAGGGGCTGGAGATTTAACTCAGTGGCATAAACACCTGCCTTGCAAGCACACAGTCATGAGTTCGATCCCCAGTACTGATAAAAATGAAAAAGACAAAAAAAAAAAAAAAAAAAAAAAAAAGAAAATAAGAAAGAAAACAAGGGATGAACTTCGGGACAAACCTCACTTGGGGTTTCTTGAGTTTGAAGTGTTTTGTGGCAACTTGGTGAACTTTGAAGTTAAGAGCTAAATATTTAAGTTTAGAGTTATATAATTGGGGATTGAAGGGTGAATACTAGCTTGTATTAGAAACAATAGGTAGGAATGGGGATTTTTTGTTGATTATTTTAAACATATGCACCCTGGAAAATATTTTTCAGAGATTACGATCCTGTTATATAAACACGTAGCCCATATTCTCTGGACTGCATAACTCTCATTGAGCAGGTAGATTTTAACTGCAGCACCCTGGATGTGCCATGTGCTCTCATACACCCTCTTCTCGTGTGTGGAGGAAGAGACCAAAAGCCAGGCCTGGCTTGTACGTCAAAATGTAGTCCACCGAATGTTTTTATGCTACCTCTGAGTTAAGGATGGTTTTCATTTTTAAGTAGTCATGGAGGAAAAAAAATCAAAGAAACACATATTTTGTGACATATGAAAACTGTACAAATATCAGACCTCAGTGTCCAGGACAGAGTGGAGTCAGAGCGGCCGTGCTTGGTTAGTGATTATCTGCCACTCTGCATGGTCACACTGAGCAGTTCTGACAGGGCCCGTACGGACTACACCAACTAAGTATCTACTATCTGGTTCTTCACAAAAGAGTCTCTTGTTCTGATGTGGATCAATTATAGGAAACCATCCCATTCAATAGTTCTTCCTAATTTATTCATCAAGGCCAAATTCTTCAGTCATCTCTCATTAACAGGCTCATTGGAAGATAATTTCGCTCAAATGTGAAAACCTAGAGGGTCTCTATTAAGCTCATTGCATGATAGAATGTGTTGATCTTGCTCGCAGATTTGCCAAATTGCAGTCCAATTTCCCACATTCTATAGTGCACCGATTATGTGCCATCAACTCATTCTCAGAAAATCTGAGCTAATAATCAGAGCTGTTTCTAGAGAGAATGCTTTACTCTGCCTGAGGGTAGCACTGCTCCCAAAGAGAAGAGGAAAAATTTTCCTCCCAGGCAGCGATCCAAGTCAGCCTCCCTAGTTGTTCCAACGAGATAACTTCTGTCTTCTCCTTAGTCTGTGCTTCAGTTGGTAACAGTAACTTCTCTTTGGAAACTCCCCAGCTACCTCGGACTCCCTTGTATTTTCTGTCCTGTCAGCATCCTGCCAGAGAAAACTGTATTTAAAGGAGACAGTGTATTGAATGTGTTACTCATCATTCTCTATGTGGCTCTAAAAGCAGGATCACAAATTCTTGCTCCATCAGTGAATTGAAATGAGCAAACAGTTACTGTGTTAGTTAGCTAAGCTGCTGTAATGAAAAGTCCACAGGATGCAAAGACTTAAGTGA